TATAAATAACTAAGACACGCCCCCCCACTCCCCCGCCACCACAAACACCCCTCTTCGAATCTGCATCTTAGTAACATGTTCACCTTGGATATACATAGAGAATGTAAATTCTCTATAGCTCTACGAAAATTAATTGATATAAATGTAGGAAAAATTGTATACTATCGGTATAATATATATTGTATATTTGAAAAGAAAAACATAATGAAACTAACAAAATCTTTTAATAATTCTAATTACAAGCATTATTATATTAGAGTAACTTATCCTTGTATTAAATGTAATCACATTTCAGGGTATGCATGTGCTGTACCGTCAATTATTGCATCCAACCCATTAAAACAAAAGGTTAGAATTGTTATCATTAAACGTTAGGGTATTGCGTGATAAAACTAAAGTAAAAAGATATTTAACTGGATAAAAAATACAGAATGTAATGTTTGCTTCTTACAAGAAACTCATAGCATAAAGGATGATGAAGGTTCCTGGGTTAGAGAATGGGGTGGTAGAGCTGTATTCTCACACAACAGATCCAACTCAGTTGGAACTGCTATCCTATTTAAAGTGGAAGACAGCTTTAACATCCTAAAGGAATATTCAGATATTGAAGGATATTATACTGCTTTAATATTATTAATAAGTAATGAAAAATATATCCTCTTCAACATCTATAGTCCTGTAAACAACTTAGAACAACCGGTATACTACTAATAAAATAGAAACAATTCTAGAAGAAAATGAAAACTCCAACATAATAATTGGAGGCGATTTTAATAACGCACTAAATCCATTATCAGATAGAGCAGGCGGGAATTATAGAGTTAAAAAGAACGGTAGGAATGCTATTCAAAATATATTAAATAGTTTTGATCTCACTGATATCTATCGAATAATAAAAAAATCCTTCATTAAAGAAATATACATGGAGGAGGAAAAATCCATACATTCAAAGCAGAATTGACTTCTGGTTAACCGCAAATAAAATACAGGATATGATAGAGACATGTGATATTAAACCAAACATTTTTAGTGACCACTCTTCAATCATTTAGTTTTAAGAATTGATAGAAATCAAAGGGGACTGTGGATCTTTAATGCTACTCTTTTAAATGATAAAACCTATGTTAAATTAATTAAAGAATCTCTAGGTGGATGGAAAGATGAATATTTGAACAATCTGATAAAAGGGGACTTTTGGGCTACATAAAGTACGGTATCAAAAAGCGAACAATCCAATATAGCAAAGCGAAACAAAAAGTTAAAAGAAATATTAAGGAAGAACTAAATAGGGAGCTCGAAAAAACTGTAAATAAGCTAGATATCACTAATGAAGAGGCGTATAATGTAAACTATACAATATATCTCCAGATCAAGGGAAAATTAGATAAACTGTATGAAGAAGAAATTAATGGAGCAATTTTAAGATAAGAAATGACATGGTATGAAAAGGGAGAAAAAAATAACAAATTCTTTCTTAAACTAGAAAAAGAAAAAAAGCTCAACACAACAATAGGACAAATTAGGAAATCAGATGGAATGTTTTCTGGCCAAGCATAAATTCATTATATTAGGATTCTATTAATAAAGTTTTGAAGAGGAATGTTTGTCTGAAAGTCAACGGCAGTCTGTAATAAAATTGATACCCAAATCATCTAAAGACAAAACCGACCTATCTAATTGGAGGTCAATAACACTAAGAAATGTAGACTTCAAAATAGTAAGCAAAGCATCAATCTGATTAAAATACAGATCTATATTTCGTTTCGTTTTTTTATACTTTCGATGGCCTGCATTACATGAAGATCTGACAAGTTATAGCAATAGGTCACGCCAGGGGTCAAAAGACCGACTTGTGATCCTATGACCAGCATTGATGTTACTAGTGGATTACCCACAGTTCCGTGAAAAATACACCTAAAGCTCGCCGTAACAGACCGTTTCATTGGCTTATCTCGAACACCATTCAGAACACGGGTTAAATAACAACTCTTCCAGATCCAAGTGTAGTAAAGACAAGTAAAACGAAATTTTGAACTCTAAAAACGAAACGAAATAGGATCTGTGTTTTAACCAGATTGGCAAAGCATTATCTAATAGATTGAAACCCTTTTTAATTAAACTTATCAATCCGAATCAAACGACCTTTGTGCCAGGTCGTCACATTCAGGAAAATATCAGGATAATTGATGATTGTATTGAACAAGCAAAACAAAGAAAATTATTGGATTTCTTTTAGCAATAGATTTTAAAAAAGCATTCGACTCCATTGATCATAAATTTTATGTATAAAGTATTACAATCTTTTGGATTTAAAAACAACTTCATACGATGGATTAAAACACTATACAAAGATATAAAATGTGCAATTTTAAATAACGATTATACAAGCCCCTACTTTCCCATCGAAAAAGGGGTCAGACAAGGGGACCCAATGTCATAAAATTTATTCAATTTAGTAATTGAGATCCTACTCCACTGCATAAGACATACAAATGAAATTAAAGGAATAGAATTTGGAAATAAATCATTAAAAAGCATAGCCTTTGCAGACGATCTCACCTGCTTACTTAAAGACTTTAAATCTGCAAGACATCTATTTGAAATATTAAAAACTTTTTAATAAAATCTCGGGATTAGAGACTAACCTTACAAAACCCGAAGCTCTTAATTGGACCATACCCCATAATAATTTTACTAATCAAATAGAAAACCTAGATATTAGAATCAGTAGAACACCTGTTAAAATACTTGGAATATACTTCTCACTAAATAAAAGTGAAACGGACAACCTAAACTTTGAAAATAAATTACTAGATATAAAATCTATTATAACAAAATGTAATAAGACACTTAACAATACTTGGAAAAATACAAATAACAAATACATTCTGTCTACCAAAGATTTCATATCCAGCCTTGGTAATAAAAGTTACAAAAAACATAATATTTAAATTTAATCAAATAGTTTATTAAAGGGACTATCCCGATATGAACAGAGTCTCGAAAATAAAATTCTGAGTACGTATGAAATTTAAGCGCCAAAATATAGAGGAATGGTGTATTTACCTTGTCTTCAAATTTCAACTCAAAATATTGAGTTGTTTGGACGTGAACGTCAAAATTCCTTATCCGGACACGTAACCCTTTTAAGATTTTGGGTCAATTTTTTCGTTGGGTGACCTGATAATCGACCCCCGTACCTTCAGAGGTCTCTACAATGAATGACCCATGTGCTGTACTTGATAACGCATGGTAAATTTCACCTGCACATTATTTTTATAAAATAAAAGTCTGGTTTTATCCAGACACCGCATAATACAGCTTGGGACACCGGTCTCCATTTCCAGATAAAGACTGACGATTTTAAGTTGTTTGAAAATGTATCACATATGCTGAGTTAGTTGCCCGGCCCTAAGGTAGAGAATTTTAAGGGATTTTAACACAAAATGAAGCAGTTTAATTCTCCAAATTATTATCGGGATTGGTCCTTTAATATTTTTGGAACGGTCCCGATAAAATTACACAGGATATACCAAATGGAGGTCAATGCATGTTAAATCTAAAAGAATTTTTAAAGTGTCAGTGTATCTTTTGGATAAAAAAAATAATCTCAAACAACGATCAGTCCTGGATTATTCCATTCAACTTAATTTTGCAAAAATATGGAGGAACTATTCTACCAGCTTGTAATTATGAAAAAGGCATAAAAATACAAAACCCTTTCTATAAAGAATTATTAACCAACTGGTATGAAATATATACTAATTATCTTGATAGCAAAGTTCCACTTGAAAAACAAATTGTCTGGAACAATAAATATATTAAACTTCATAACAGTAGTATAGTTGATAAAGTTTTAATCCAAAACAAATATCTGTATGTAGCAGATATCATTAGCAGTACACAAAATACAACAAGTTTTGAAAACTATAATATCGATGCATTACAACAAGTGGCACATGCTATAAAGAGGCAATCTAATGTGAACTATGGAAATATAACAGATGATATTAGCAATAATCTAAAGGATATATATGACAAAACATTATTTGACATAAAATCGAAGGATATCTATAATGCAAGAGTAGAAAAATCATTTGTTACACCAAAATGCATAAACCGGTGGGAAACCATTCTAAATACCACTATTGATAATATAGAAACCAAACAAAATATATAAACTAGCAAAATCTGTATGCTTCAACACAAAAATGCGCAGCTTTCATTATAAGTATACATGTGTACATAAAATAATATACACTAATACAAAGCTATGTAAACTCAAATTTACTGAGAGTTCTCTTTGTGCCCTCTGTAACTCATGCCTTGAAACCCAGGAACACCTATTCTACTTATGTCCTGTAAAACAAACAATATTAACCAATTTGTCTGAAATCCTATTAAAAAACAATATTAACATCCTAATCTGTCAAGAATCAATACATTTAGGAGTATATAATATAAAAATGTTTAATAACAAAAACATGAATGGTTATTTGTAAATCTCCTCATCCTCCTTACAAAATATTACATCTATGAATGTAAAATTAAAAATAAATTCCCAAATAAAGATCAGTAGCTCAACTTTATGAGAACTGTGTCAAAGACAGAGCTGGATTTGTTTGTTGGCAACAAAACAATCGTAGACAAATGGAAATATGAAATTTAATTATAAAGGTACAACACAAAGCCCCCCCCCCCCTGGAACAAAGTACAGCACATGTATACTCTGATCTGCATTTTATCTGTATTTTAAACATAAAGAAGAATATACTGTTTATATTAATAATATTATATATTTAAGTATGTTATTTATTGCATTGTACTATAATTGTCTACACATGTATTTTAGACATATTACTTTATGTATCAAGAAATGTTCTTGTATTATAATTATTATTATTAAAAAAAAAATTCATTATTTCATCGTCTACTATCATTATATTCAATAAAATTAGTGAAAACAGAAGTAAAAAAAAAAGAAAAAAAAAACCCTCTGCTTTTTATTAAGGTAGAATGTTTAAACTTGATGTGGATTTTTATTAGGTGAATGTCTTGACTGAGTTCAATGATTAACATTTCGAGCTAAAGCTAAGCAGGACTAAGAAATTTCATTGGTCGATGCTTTGGGACAAGATAACTTTGATTCTATCTGATAGAGAGTGATGAAACTTAGTGTATATAGTTGATTGCTTGATACTTTTGAAAAAAAAAATTTGCGTTTTATTTAAACATACATTTTGCAAGAGCTAAATCTGTCTATTGCAGGTCTTTCTTTAGGCCTGAAATGTTATCTAAATTATTAATTAGACATTAATTAACCTATCCAGACCATAATCAACTCTACACGGCATAGCTAGCCTGCGATCTTTAGTGGATTATGAGCCAATTTACTGCATAACTTTCCTTCACGATTTAACGATTAAATGGATAATCCAGACTATGCTGTTTATTGTACCGACTTTAGTAATGATGATCAAGGCTAGCCGGAAATTTCAACAGCTTAGTTCTCGGTTCATAGTGGATCAATTTGTATGAAATTTTCAGCAAATTGCCTTTACATTAGGCCTATCTAGTTTTTAACTATTACTCATTATCGAATCTCCCATAATGAATCTTTAAGGGATTTTGGCGGGGGGCCTCAGTCTCAATGATGGCTTGTTTAAACATACACACTATTATCATAATGTCCTTTGACTGGAAGTTCGGTTTCCTTTTCTCTATATTTTCCACCTTGTTCCTTTTTAAGAAAAAAAGCGGGATCTGGCAACAGACTGTCTGAAGCCGGCACAGACAACCCTTCTTCTTGTGCTTTCTTTAAAGCTTGCAGGTACCCTTTACGATATAGCCTTAATTCGGGATTATGTATTAAGGTGTAAGTAACATGCCAATTAAAACGAGCAGCCTTCCTTCTTCTGGCCCCGTCCACATCGGCTGAAAAAAAGAAAAAAAAACCCCACATAATTTGATATAATCAGTATTAGATCAAGCTGGTCACTGCAGTTTGATATCTCCAAACTAATACTTGTTTCGTTTACATCACATGACATTCGGCTATAGAGCTTTCTTTGTACAATCTGTTCGGAGTGTGTTTAAAGTTTAAGTTTAAGTTTATTACATTTAATATAGCCCTCATTACTGCAATACATGCATTCAATGGCACTTTACAAGGTCAGCGTAATCTATCTATATATATATTTGTGACTGTCGTTTGTCTGTCTGTCTGTCTGTCTGTTCGGGGTTGGCGGCTACACTAGGCCAGGTGGCGTTAGTCTACCACTTCCGGTTTCGGAGTTATGACCCCCGAGCGAAGCCGGTCTGTTCGGGGTTGGCGGCTACATCTGCCCCGAGTCTGAAATTTGGGGTACAGGGGTAGCTCGGACCGGGGAGTAACATAGGCCAGGTGGCGTTAGTCTACCACTTCCGGTTTCGGAGTTATGATCCCCGAGCAAAGCCGGTCTGTTCGGTGTTGGCGGCCACACTAGGTCTGCCCCGAGTCTGAAATTTGGGGTATAGGGGTAGCTCGGACCGGGGAGTAACATAGGCCAGGTGGCGTTAATCTACCACTTCAGGTTTCGGAGTTATGACCCCCGAGCGAAGTCGGTCTGTTCGGGGTTGGCGGCTACACTAGGTCTGCCCCTAGTCTGAAATTTGGGGTATAGGACCGGGGAGTAACATAGGCCAGGTGGCGTTAGTCTACCACTTCCGGTTTCGGAGTTATGACCCCCGAGCGAAGCCGGTCTGTTCGGAGTTATGACCCCCGAGCGAAGCGGGTATCCTGCTAGTATTACTTTATTTGTGACTTGAAATGTTAGCTTTGCCATTTCACCAACCAAAATAAAATAGCAATATTTAATATTTTATGTTTAAACATGCATTATACAAGAGCTAAATCTGTCTATAGCAGGTCTTTCTTTAGGCCTGAAATGTTATCTAAACTATTAATTAGACATTTATCAACATGACAAGATTATAATCAACTCTCAATGCCATCTTATGTGTCGGATTTTCAATGGATTTGAATCCGATCTGCTGTTCAACGCTCATTGATGATTAAACGCAAAAATGGATAATCGAGACTCTTGTTTTTTTTTATCGTACCGACTTTAGTAATGATGTTCGAGGCTAGGCCTAAAATTCACTCGCTAATATCTCGGTTCAGGTGGAGCAAGGTATTACCCCCACCCTCCCTATACCCACAAACTGCAAACAATGAATTGTTAATCCAGATACAGAAAGTATTATGTTCATACCCAATCGATTTTGTAATTGGGTGTCATTTACCGCACAGAAATTAACACCAGCACTGACGACCAGTGATTTAAGTTTAGTCCTCCGACTCGCCATCAGAATTCTGACCAGTACCAGTACTACTGGATGATTGTGAGAATTTTCAATGTGCATAAATCCTACATAAGCAGCAAAACCTGAAAAATAAAATGAAATACATTTAAATGTTTATAATATGCCTTAAAGCCCACATGAATTTGCGACGGAGGCTGTAGTTAGAACTAGTTTTCCGTCAATAAAAATCAGATTTAGATGTTTTAATAGATTGGGGACCGTGGGTGGTTCAATGAGTAACTCGTTAACCCGGAAATCTCGCGTTCGCTCCCTGTGGTGGCCGACAAAGTTCCTTGGGATTTCCTTGTCAGTGCGGCAGGACGGAGGGACGGAGGTCCTGACAAGAACAACATGTGGCACGACAAACCGGGGTCGAGTATGCATATTAGCGGGCTCGTGGAAGAAAACTTGGAATTCGTAATACGAGTAGGGCGTAGCGCCACTATCCGGGAAAATCTTCCACCGTAACACATTGGGCGGTTGGGTGGCCGAATGGTTAACGCGTGCGCGTTGGATCAGAAGGTTTCAATTCTCCGCTTGTACGTGACAATAAGTAGGTTCGTCTGTCCAACCTCGCGGGTTTTCTCTGGGTCGTGCGGTTTCATCCCACAGCTAAAGACCCCTTGCGCAATCGAATTATTGAAATTTGTTAGTCAGGAAGTGACCTAGATTCTGTCGAGTGGAGGTTAAACCCCATTTCTCTCTCTCATAATACATTATGTTAAAATAGTTAATAGTTAAAAAAATAGATAATGTAAAGGGAATATGCTGAAAATTTCAGTCAAATTGCTCCACTCTGAACCGGGATATTAGCGATTGATTTTTCGGCCTAGCTTCCGTCATCATTACTAAAGTCGGTACGATAAAAACATAGTTTCCATTATCCATTGTTAGATTTAATTATCAATGAGCGTTAAGCAGCAGATAGGATTCAAATCCAGTAACAATCTGACAAGATGACATCGAGAGTTGATTAAGGTATTTTATGTTAATAAATGTCTAATTAACAGTTTGTATAACATTTCAGGCCTAAAGAAAGGCCCGCAATAGGCCGATTTAGCCCTTGCATAACCCTTGTGCGTATACAAGGGCTATTTCGGGACCCCACAACCATATCCTTAACGTTTGTGAGGAACTAGTTTATAATTCTTTAAATGACATCTAGAAGCACGGTTTAACTGTTCATAACAAAACACAACACAAGGTATATATGGATATAACTACTTCTCTATTATTTAATAACGACGTTTCGTAACACATACTTGTACAGGTCACGTTTTCAAGTAATAACAACGTTTCGTAACACATACAGGTCACGTTTTCAAGTTAATAATAAATATCCATCTAGTCAGCATATTTTGGCTTACCCCAACTTAATTAAGTTCTGATTATTAAGTTGTGATTATTCATGTTGGTCTGATTAAGATGTTATATGGTGAAACCCTATTAAGGCTGATCTTTGATCTCGAGCACTGATTATCTGTGATTATCTTACCAAAGGGTCAATCAATAATATTGTTTGTATTAGTTATTGTTATTGTAGGGCTTCTAATTATTTTAATGGTTTCGTCTGATTATTAATTAAGTTGGGGTAAGCCAAAATATGTATAAACTAGCAGGATACCCGGCTTCGCTCGGGGGTCATAACTCCGAAACCGGAAGTGGTAGACTAACGCCACCTGGCCTATGTTACTCCCCGGTCCGAGCTACCCCTATACCCCAAATTTCAGACTCGGGGCAGACCTAGTGTAGCCGCCAACCCCGAACAGACAGACTTCGCTCGGGGGTCATAACTCCGAAACCGCAAGTGGTAGCCTAACGCCACCTGGCCTATGTTACTCCCCGGTCCGAGCTACCCCTATACCCCAAATTTCAGACTCGGGGCAGACCTAGTAGCCGCCAACCCCGAACAGACCGGCTTCGCTCGGGGGTCATAACTCAGAAACCGGAAGTGGTAGACTAACGCCACCTGGCCTATGTTACTCCCCGGTCCGAGCTACCCCTAAACCCCGAATTTCAGACTCGGGGCAGATGTAGCCGCCAACCCGAACAGAGAGACTTCGCTCGGGGGTTATAACTCCTAAACCGGAAATGGTAGACTAACGCCACCTGGCCTATGTTACTCCCCGGTCCGAGCTACTCCTATACCCCAAATTTCAGACTCGGGGCAGATCTAGTGTAGCCGCCAACCCCGAACAGACCGGCTTCGCTCGGGGGTCATAACTCCGAAACCGGAAGTGGTAGACTAACGCCACCTGGCCTATGTTACTCCCCGGTCCGAGCTACCCCTATACCCCAAATTTCAGACTCGGGGCAGACCTAGTTTAGCCGCTAACCCCGAACAGACAGACAGACAGACAAACGACAAATATATATATATATAGATAGGCTGACTAGATGGATATTTATTTTATTGTCTACGATATCACCTTAGGTGGAAGTGGACGTAAAACCCCAGAGAAGAAGAAGAAGAAGAAGATATTTATCATTAACTTGAAGCACATCAAAGAAAAACAATTAAATTGTTGATGTAGTAAAGATGACTATTTGCCAATACGTACTTACCGGTAACGCACATGTAACGAAGACATTGTTAAGTTATGTATATAATCACCTATAAATTATTCGAAAAATTTATTTTAAAATTAAAGAAGTAAAATTTAAAAAAAAAAAAAATGTATTACGAAACGTCGTTATTAAATAATAGAGAAGTAGTTATATCCATATATACCTTGTGTTGTGTTTTGTTATGAATAGTTTATAATTGTCTAGCGAAAATTTTATACATTGTCAGCTACCTAATGTCGAGTATAATGCTGCAAATATAACGGAAGTGAGGCAGTTGCAATATTCATCATTTGACAAGGAATTATTGTATTACATTATCGGAAACAAGGGGCCTTGTGGACCACCTCCCCTTTCCTTTCAACATTTTGCTGGTTACAAGTGTCTAATCTGTTCTGCGCTCGGTGCTAGCTTTGCATTTGGAATCTTTCTTACTGATGACATTGTGTTGGTCATTCTAGTAATCTAGATCTGAAAGCAAATCTAGGTACTCTACCAACCTCACCAAAAGACGATGGAAATGATAATTTTAAAGTTATTTGTAGATTTGTATTTGTACCTTGTAATTCATATCGCCACTGTTAATACCTCAATTATTAATTATTGTTCAGTCTTTATATGAAGCTGTAGTTTGATCGCACTTGAAAAAGACTATGCATTAAAAATACTATTCTGGGATCTTAGATTACCCCTTGTTGCCGACAATGTATTTCGTGGGACGTGTCCGCACAAGGAATAATGTATATATGTTTATAATGAAATGAAATGAAATGGGGTTTAACGCTTCTGCACCTAACCTGGGCTAATTGAAGACGGGCATACGCCATACAGTGTGCTATGAGGGAATTTTGCCCGAGCAGCGGCGCTACGGCCTACTCTTATATCGAATTCCAACTGCCAAGGGATCTTTTACGTGCACGCCAATGTGTACACGGGACCTCGGTTTTTTCGCCCCACCGAACGACTAGGCAGCTGTCCTTGTCAGACCCTCCGTTCTGCATCACTGACAAGGGGAAACCACGCCGGAAAATATATGTTTATATATATCAAATAATAGAAATGGTGTATTGAAAGACCTCTATCATGTTAATTACCTGGGTCGAAGAATTGGAATCGTTCGGGTAATGTACTATTGTCCAATCTAGACAACAGAAGAGCACCAATAACAATAGCCTTTATGATTCTCAATAAACAGGATATTAAACCCAGGAATATATTATAGAAATACATAAAATATGTAAAACTAAATAACAGTCGTCTGAAATTAAAAATAGGATAAACGTTTATAAAAAAAATGAAAGTCGAGTATAAAGGACCTCGAGGCGAGTGCCTGTTGAAAAGGAGCCGTTACGATCGCGTGATGTTTAGCTTTTACACGAATCTTTCTCTTCCCAAATAATTTTTGTTCGTAATTTCTTCAGAAATAATTTTGTATTATATCTCCTGTGCGTCTTCATGTAAAGACTCAATTCGCCCTAATCGTCATTATTATTAATATATTTCGTTTCTGATTTTTATCTTTCGATATTTTTGTCAACCATTGGTAAGGAGAGGGGCGAGGTCTGTTTGTTAAGGCCAACTCAATTTTCGATAAGGTCGCTGAGATGTAAATAAGGTTAGGGCACGTGATTATGGGTTAGCGCTAGCCCTGTTTACATCTCGTGACCGTTGACCAAATCTGCAGTTGGCCTAAATATTTAGACCTAACCAGAGAGAGAGAGTACGACATTGAGGAAAGAGACGTGAATATAGCTACTCGTGATGTGTGACATTACAGTATATGATATGTGATAGCCCTTACAGCATTTTCAGTATAATAATAAATTTGTATCAACAATCTGACGACTGGGAACATGGCAATAAAATGATTAGCCCATGACTGCTATTGTAGGCTATATACTGACAAACTGATATGCACGTACATATTGCCTACGAAAGAAGAAATAGGCTAGAGCACTTTTCCAAAGCACACATTGACAACCAGTAAGACTGTATGTAAGAATGGGCGACTGGCGCAACTGTTCGGCAAAAAAACAGATAACGTATTGGGCTATGCCTAAAATAAACTAAAGCCCGTTTTCTATTCGCGAAAAGGTCGGTCTAATGATTGGACCGTTTCCAGTTAACCAACGTTTCCATGGAAACGCCGCGAAAACTCGTTCATGGAAAACTGGCTTTAGACAAATTGTATTACTAGCGTATAGCATTTATTTAAAAAAGAACCAAAAGAAAAAGAATCGTTACCTGTTTTCAAATGCCAATTCCTTTCCCCTTCCTTGTAAAAACGCAAATCTCGCCAACTGTGTTTGTAAAATACTGATCACAATAGCTGACAACAATATAGGCCTAGAAAAAAAAGAACAATATAATTAATTACCATCAAATTATCAAAGTTGTGTTAAAAACAAAGATCAAGCCAGCCCATATTAAATACATGACTCAGATAAGTATAGTCTTTAATATTCTTTAACTCTAGTTATTGGGTTATTCTGCTTTTCAAATTGTTCGACACACACACTATATAGTGTATCAAGCTGTTAAAGATACATTATGGGAGATAAGATAAAGAGATGGCAGTTCTCGCTATAATAGTTAAAAACTAGATAGTGTAATGTTAATTTGCTGAAAATTTCAGTCAAATTGATCCACTATGAGCCGAGAAAGAAGCGGGTGAAATTTTTGCATAGTCTCGGTCATCATTACTAATATCATTAATATAAACAGCATAGTCTCGATTATCCACTTTTTCTGATTTAATTATCAGTGGCCGTTAGCGGCATATAGGAATCTAATCCAGTCAATATCGAAAGCGAGCCTTGACATCGAGGGTTTACTATGGTCTGGATAAGTTAATTAATGTCTAATTGATAATTTAGACAACATTTCAGGCCTAAAGAAAGACTTGTAATAAGCAGATTTTGCTCTTGCATAATGCATGTTTAATTGTTTCTGTATTTAAAGTTAGATCTAGCGCCCAAAAATATTGCTCGCCATGCCTGTCATTAAAATGACATGGGTAATTGGCAATACAAGTTGTTTAGGGACGTGAAACCCAAGCAATTAAATAAAAAAAAAAAAAGTTACCAAATTGATTTTATGACAGATATAATCCAATCGTTAAATCCCGAGTCGAGAAAAATCACTATACAAGTCAGAGAAAAACCAATCAGAAAAATAATAGTGAACTGTATTATAAAACCTGAAAGATATAAGTAAACTGTATTATAAAACCTGAAAAATAAATAGTACCAGAATACACAAATACATTATTTATACTTGGTAAAGCAGCTGACCATCATTTGAATCCCCTGCAAATTAGTTGAAACTCCAAATGGAATATCAGTCCAAAAATGTTTCAAAAGTGTGATTAATTGAAAATATTTAGCGTCGGTGTTTTATCATTTAGACAGTTATCACATGACAAACCCATAATCAACTCTCCAGATCATCGAGTGGCTTAGATATTAGGTGGGTTAGACAATACTCGCCATATCAAAGCTAATATTGTCGGAAACTGACGATAAAAGTCCTGTCAACTGAGACGTCGTTTATGATCATGACAATGGTACTTGATAATCGAGAATATGAACGGTGGGAGGAGTTTCCGGACGTCATGGTGACTCCCAGGACCGATAATATCTGGGCAAATAAGAGGCCTTGTGATAACTTCAAATAGATATTTCTAAAAATAATTTTAAAAAACCACACACATACACAACACAAAAACGATAAGAATACAAAAGTGTGTATAAACCAGTAACTGTTTTCCATTTAAATTGTGCGGTGTTTTTTTTGTATGTGCTCAATTGCTAAATGCCACTGAAGGATTAGATATTGCTAAGTATTCGTTGCACTTTTGTGTCAAATTAATTGAGGTGTATTATCTGATCCAGTTGCTTACCCCATGCTATATAGGCAACTTGATAACCAGCGTATCGTATACTTCCAACCTGAAATTAACCAACCTGAAATTAACAGACAGACTTCGCTCGGGGGTTATAACTCCGAAACCGGAAATGGTAGACTAACGCCACCTGGCCTATGTTACTCCCCGGTCCGAGCTACTCCTATACCCAAAATTTCAGACTCGGGGCAGACCTAGTGTAGCCGCCAACCCCGAACAGACCGGCTTCGCTCGGGGTCATAACTCCGAAACCGGAAGTGGTAAACTAACGCCAATTGGCCTATGTTACTCCCCGGTCCGAGCTACCCCTATACCCAAAATTTCAGACTCGGGGCAGACCTAGTTTAGCCGCCAACCCCGAACAGACAGACAGACAGACAAACGGCAGTCACAAATATATATATAGACTAGCAGGATACCCGGCTTCGCTCGGGGGTCATAACTCCGAAACCGGAAGTGGTAGACTAACGCCACCTGGTCCAAGCTACCCCTATACCACAAATTTCAGACTCGGGGCAGACCTAGTGTAGCGGCCAACCCCGAACAGAACGGCTTCGCTCGGGGGTCATAACTCCGAAACCGGAAGTGGTAGACTAACGCCACCTGGCCTATGTTACTCCCCGGCCCGAGCTACCCCTATACCCCAAGTCTGTTCGGGGCAGACCTAGTGTAGCCGCCAACCCCGAACAGACAGACTTCGCTCGGGGGTAATAACTCCGAAACCGGAAGTGGTAGACTAACGCCACCTGGCCTATGTTACTCCCCGGTCCGTGATACCCTTATACCCCAAATTTCAGACTCGGGCCAGACCTAGTGTAGCCGCCAACCCCGAACAGACCGGCTTCGCTCGGGGGTAATAACTCCGAAACCGGAAGTGGTAGACTAACGCCACCTGGCCTATGTTACTCCCCGGTCCGTGATACCCTTATACCCCAAATTTCAGACTCGGGCCAGACCTAGTGTAGCCGCCAACCCCGAACAGACCGGCTTCGCTCGGGGGTCATAACTCCGAAACCGGAAGTGGTAGACTAACGCCACCTGGCCTATGTTACTCTCCGGTCCGAGCTACCCCTATACCCCAAATTTCAGACTCGGGGCAGATGTAGCCGCCAACCCCGAACAGACACACTTTGCTCGGGGGGTCATAACTCCGAAACCGGAAGTGGTAGACTAACGCCACCTGGCCTATGTTACTCCCCGGTCCGTGATACCCTTATACCCCAAATTTCAGACTCGGGCCAGACCTAGTGTAGCCGCCAACCCCGAACAGACCGGCTTCGCTCGGGGGTAATAACTCCGAAACCGGAAGTGGTAGACTAACGCCACCTGGCCTATGTTACTCCCCGGTCCGAGCTACCCCTATACCCTAAATTTCAGACTCGGGGCAGACCTAGTGTAGCCGCCAACCCCGAACAGACCGGCTTCGCTCGGGGGTCATAACTCCGAAACCGGAAGTGGTAGACTAACGCCACCTGGTCTATGTTACTCCCCGGTCCGAGCTAACCCTATACCCCAAATTTCAGACTCGGGGCAGACCTAGTGTAGCCGCCAACCCCGAACAGACAGACAGACAATCACAAATATATATATAGATAGATAAGTATATTTAGTATAAATGTGGACATGTGTACCCACCAATAAGTCTGGATTTGTTCTTCTAGTTCTGGATGGAATATGAGTGTAGTCACCTTTATGTAGAGCTCTCAAATTTGTTCTGTAATAAAAGGTTGTGGGTAAACTTTAATTTTCTATTCCTATTGTTCCTATTGTTATTGTCTCGCAAACGGCAACTAAATTACTATATTATGTGCGCTTTTTCGTCTTTTCTAAACTGACGCTGATTAAATTTACTCAGAAGGTTTTTGAACAGCAAATCTCCACTAGCCGATCATCTCTGCATCCACGATGTCTACAGTCACTCTTCCCCAACCTAGGGAGCCACGGTGGCCCAGTGAGTAAGACATTGGCTCGCTAACCTGGAGCACACGTGTTCGATCTCTGTGTTGACCGAGAAAGTTCATTGAGATTTATCGGGTTTTCCGACGTCATTCCCTATTGACAGTGGTGCAGGACGACGGGTCTGGCAAGAGACAGTCTATATTAGTTCGGGTGGGACAAAAAAACTGAGGTGCCGTGTACACATTGGCATGCCTGTAAAAGAGAATGAAATGAAATGAAATGAAATGAAGTTTAACGTTCTACTGTTCTGCTCCGACTGGGCTAATGAAGACGGACATACGCCATACAATGTGCTGTGAGGGAAATTTTGCCCGGAAAGCGGCGCTACAGCCAACTCTTATATCGAATTCCAACTACCAAATGATAACGTGCATGCCAATGTGTACACGGGACCTCGGTTTTTTGTCTCATTATCCCAGTCGGAGCAGAACCGTAGGGCGTTAAACCCATTCCCTTTCTTCCTCAACCTTGTTAGACAGTACTGAATACCCATATAAATTGGAGTTGTCATAAATTGTTATTCCTAATACGGTGTCACATCTGTGTACACCTGTAAACACTTTTTGTAGAATTTTTGCTCTTTAAATTAGGATAGCATTATATTGTATTAAATAATATCTCTGGCAAGTTAGTAGATTCACATATTTGTACTTAAATCAAGTTAGTTAATGAGTGACAGATGGTTATATAAAAAAGAGTTATAATTTGGTAAATATTAGCTGGTTTTGTGGGAATAGGGATATCGTGTATTACACGTGCTTGGAAATTTCCTAATTGCATCATTTGGCTAAAGTAACCAATCATAATCAGTAGTTGTACGAGTTCGGGGTCATGAGTAGCTTATTCTGTGCGTGACATCCATGAGTCCTATAAAAGAAATCATGGTAAACTTTTAAGATAGATTTTGCGATCTGAATTCCTAGATAGCAGCTTGATTCTAGAAGGAAAAATATGTAACAGTTTCTATCAGCAGACTCGCCTAGCGAGTCTGGCTGAATGAGGTTTGAGAGAATGTACCATATGTAAGCAGCTATGATATAAAATGTAAAAAAACGAACTGTTGCATTGTTATAACTACTGAGAAAACAGTAAGAAGTAAATACACAACGTGAAGGGAAAGTAAAGACAGCTAGAGACAAATTCTAGACGATCACAGGGCTACTAAGATGTGTAGTAAGAAAGGATGCAAGGATGTGGCAACCGGTTTGTTCAACGTCCGCTCTCCACGTCTGACGAAAGACTCATGGTACTTCACACCGTCATCAACAGTTTGGTCGAACCTTTTCAGTCCTCGATGATGCATCCATAAGCTTCACGGATTCCTTTGTTTATAAACGGCAACACAGGCATGTTTGGATTGAACAACATTTTCTATGTCAAACAGCTGTGGGTTAACATAGTATATACCAACCTGTATGATGACATCATATGTAATATAACAAGAAGATTCAAACACGTTGTCAGAAACATAGACACAATAAAACAGGCTGGAAAAAAAACCAATCAAGTTGTCAGAAACATAGACACAATAAAACAGGCTGGAAAAAAAAAACAATCAAGTTGTGAGAAATATAGACACAAACCAAAAACAATTTATATTCTTCTATATCACTAACAACGAGAACATACTATTAATATTAAGTCTGTTCCAACTAGGAGATCCGTCATCCTTAGCCCAGTCGGAACACAATAGTAAGACGCTAAACCCAAACTCATTTCATTCCATTTCCAACAAGGGAGTCGTGGTGACTCAGCGAGTAAGGCGCTGGCTCACTCATGTGAGCTTCTGGTAATAGGGATGGATCGAAATATCAACAATTTGCACAGATTACGTGTGTCTAAAGGCTAGCCTTTATGATAGAAACTTGCATCAGTGTTAACAAGGTTTCGCTACTACATGTATTGAGCATACTGACAAAAGTTAACATTTGAAATAGTTGAAAATGGCTGGTAATCCTTGAAAATCGTTAATGGTGTAGCCACACTGTCCCGAAATGGACATCAGATGGCCATACAAATATGGAATTTTGAATTTCGCGCGAAGGTAGCCCCCGAACTTGGTCAACAGCCAATCAACAGCCGATGCAAGTAGAACGCCCGCAGAAGGTCACGCGACAAACGAAGGCCACACGACGTGAAAAATTCTTGTCTAAGATGTCACCCCTGGTGGAAGTAGACGTAAAACTCTAGGAGCGAACGAACGAACGTGAGAAATACATTGTTGATCAGAGATTATTGGGAGCAGAAAACAGTACATTTCAACTCTATTTCAAATTTAATTAAATTTTAATTGAACTTCATATGTTAACTCACACGTGGGAAACGCTTGACCTACTCAAATTCGGCTGTCTTCGTTGACAACTTGGTGCCATCTCGATGTCATCGTAGGCGTACTATAATACGATGGTTACACGAATTCTAACACGGAATTGAGCCTTAGCAAGTTCTTTCGGCAATTTTTTGTCATGCCAAAGTTTTTGCCAGCGGTCACGAAGTTATTGCCGGAGCCTGAGAAAATCTACAGGCAGTCATGCGATGGCTTAAGATGCCGAATTTGAAATTTACTTTATCGTGTGTCCCTCTGATGTCAATTTTGGAACAGTGTGACGAAAACATAAATAGACCCGACCTTTCACATAGCCAGGCTAATAATTGTGGTCTCAATTAAAAAAAGGATTTAATAATAATTCTGTTCTTTATTAGTCAGTCAGTGAGTGGGGCTTAACGTCCGCTTCCAGCTAGGGTGATATCGCAGGCAAGTGTTTCCTGGAACACTTTCGATATGAGCCCAATAAGAAACTCGTGAGACGGGTAAGCGATTAAGGGGCCTAACGAAAATGCCTTATATTCTGTCCTTTGGTGTGATGTACATATTAATATCTGTTCCTGTAAAAGGATATATGGCACGGGTCGAATACTACTTCAATATTGGGAAATCTAAGTAATCAAATTTGGTTACCAATTGGGTTTGATTATGTATCCATTACCAAACATGTGAGAACGACATTATTCCGATAAATAATTTTCAGAACTTTATGATTATTCAGATTACTATTTAAGGCGTAAAATCGTTTAAAAAATAAAGGAATACGAACATTTAATTGATTTCATTGCTCGGTTGGCAAATTCAATGACCCCTACAGCTGCTTCACTTTCTTCTGTATCCATGCTGCCGTCCCCCAGGACTACAACATCTCGTAATTCTTGCATACTTTTTATAGCATAATCCAGTATCAACGAAACAGAAACTGACAGCTCTAAAGTAAGCTTTAAAAAAAACACATATTAAATGAACTATTATGAACAGGGTGTTCGAAATGAAAAGAATTACTCTCGGGATTTTGTGTCTTGGGATGCAAGATCCACTCGACACAAACCAGGTCAATTAGAGATTATCGAATGGAAGGTAAATCAATAATTCGCTTGTGCATAGAGTTCTTTAGCAGTGGAGGGAGAAAACCCAAGGGTTAGACAGGCCATCATACGTCTTGTCACACACAAGCCTGCCATCAAAACCACAACCTTTGACTCAATGCAGAGCTTATCATCTAAAGTGCACTCGTTAGAACACTGGGCAAATCAGACACGGCCCTCTCTTGTGTTGAATTTGGCCATGCTCGTGAAAGATCTGACAGTTTGGATTCGAAAGGGTAGGAGAACAACGACACTGCCGGAGCAATATACCCCTTAAACCATTTTTGTAAAATCATATGACAAGTACGATTCGTTTTATGTTTTATTATAGTAAAATCAGACATATCTTGTTTAAAGTCGGTGTTCAGATCCTGCGAACTGTTCCTTGTTCCTTTAACATCGATGTCAAGACAAGAGCTGATCTAAACTAACATTTTGTCTAATTTATTACCCCAATAATATTTTTCAGCCCACAAAGCGCATAAAAACGGAAGCACTTACCATATAGATTAAACAAACGCCCAATAACATCACTGATAAAAACCGGGAAGAATAATTAAATGCTGAAAAGTAAAATGCGGGATTAAACTGCTCTTCATTATATTGTGTCTGACTGCACAAGCATTTTATTTATGTCTTAAATGGCGTTGGGGGAGGGGGGAGGGTAAATTAATATTAGTACCGGGCACTTGTCATTATACAGAAAGTAAAGGCAGGATAACTGCCGCCATCAATAGCCTTTTACCCCTTACCAGCTAATGGCATCGCAGCAGTCACGTTTGGACAGCAACTGCGCTGCGGACTTAAGGCTGAATCGATTCCAGTACAAATGAAATGAAATGGGGTTTAACATCCTACTGTTCTGCTCCGAACTGGGCTAATGAAGACGGGCATACGCCATACAATGTGCTATGAGGGAAATTTGCCCGAACAGCGGCACTACGGCCTACTCTTATATCGAATTCCAATTTTCAAGGGATCTTTTACGTGCACACCAATGTGTACACGGGACCTCGGTTTTTCGTCCCATCTGAACGACTAGACAGCTGTCCTTGTCAGGCCCTCCGTCCTGCATCACTGACAAGGGAGAACCACGCCGGAAAAATCTGGATGAACTCTCTCGGTCAATGCAGGGATCGAACACCCGACCTCCAGACTAGCGTGGATTCCAGTACAAGACAATGGATGCAATATAGAGAAGTTGCAACGGCTAGACATTTTCTTTGACGAACCAATTAGGGAGAATACTGGTTTTAGATTATCCATACCTGCGTCTGTCTGATAGACTAATCTATGCCACAGGTTTATTACTTTTGATTTGATTATCATAAGTTTCCCTTCCGGAGGACTGAAATATTAAATTAACATATAATTTATGGCAGAAATTATTTAAAACGCGAACTAAAATTCCTTTCTAAATAAATCATTTAAAGGGAGAAAAAGGAGTCACATTTTTGTTTGCTTTGTGGTCTAGAATTGATAAAAAGAGTTTGAATTATGACTTGCTACCAGGTTTTGAGATGGGCAGATCAGAACGTACACAGACAACAACTTGGAGAATTCTCCAGGTTCACAAGAACTTCCGAAAGAAAAAAACCCTCTTATACCTTTTAAAGACTTTGCTCAGTTAGTAGTGGTATGTTAAGCTCGTCACTGATATAACGGATAGATCCCGGAATGTGTAAACATAAATAACAGCATCAAATAGGGAAAGAAATTAAGATTAAGAAAAGAATTAGTGGTCTTAATAAGCAGTCTTTATCAGGGTGACTTTTGAAAACATTTAAAAGATGGATAAGTTAGTTTGTTTTGTATGGTTATTTTGGGCTATTTTCTATTATGTATCCAGTAATAGTATAGTTGTTCGTACGCAGGCTACATACTCGGGCTTTTGTAGAGGCTTTTTAAATAAACGTATGACGTGAAGGCCCACGTAAGACTCTTTGATTTCTTCTAAGGTTTCAGTTTGGTATTCATCTTGTAGAGTCATGAAAAAGTTTCGACCTTTTTTGATAGACATAACAAATCTTCCAGGAAGACTACAGCACAGATAAAACAAACACACCATTTGTGGCATACTTCTCGCCACAAGAACTAGCGTTGTTTTTGTTTCCTTAAATAAAGAAAAGGGGAAATTACTTATTGTGGCATTTCAGGTTTTGTAAAATTCTGGGAAGTAACTCTATCAATAAATCCATAGGAAGGTTGGCATGTGTTACACTATATCCCGCAAGTTTAAAGAGCTCTAATTTTTTACACAAGAAAACAACCCAGTCGATGTATACAAAATTACAAAAACAAAAAGAATGCAAACGCTAAGGCACAGATATATTAAGTGGAAAGTAAAAGCGGATTTGCTGTGGTTGGAATTGATCCCATACCTATTTATCCGTGTCGAGGAATTAGGGCGATGGACTCTCGAATTACAATATCCCGGATTCAAATCCCAGCGTGTGGGTACATGTTTTTTTTTTCTAATCGCGATTTATCAAACTTACATTTTTGTAAACACACTGAAATTGTTGATATATTGAAGCACCGGTAAAAAACCACATATAGATCGACCCAACACAATAACCGTAGGTAGACCCAATAGCTAAACAAGCAAACACAGGGAAGAAGACTACACCATATATTATCATAGATGCTATAACTATTAAACCTGTAAAAAAAATTTACACAAAAAATTAGGACTAAAATAAAACAACGAAACAAACACACCCTATCTCCCCCCACCCCCCTTACACACACACACTCTCACACTCATAAAGTAGACATGTTTAGTGCAATATAAACATATTCTATTAAAGTACACCTCTTGTTTCAAAATCCAAATCATTTCGACTTACATTAGCAAATCAAGACTCCGGTGTGATGTCATCATTTGTCAACAAAACCACGTGCTCGAGCTATAATAGCTAAAATTTTCCAATGACATTCTGTATAATCCAATTGCCGTGATTACTGAGCAACGTTTCGACTAAATAGGCTCCCCTTTTCTTTACCAAGCGATGATAAAATGTGAAATGTAATGAGCGAATGATGAATGAAAATCAATGTTCAACCGTGAACATGCAAGCGTACACATACCAGAACCCTGTCATTGAGTCAACTGGCATGGTTTCGAATCCCCGGTTGCCTGTCCTCCGGTTTCCTTCCACTGCTAAAGACCCCTACGCGCAAGCGAATTATCGAAATAAAATTAAACCATAATATGTTAGTCCCGAAATGACCTAGTCTGTGTCGAGTCGACGTTCAATCCCATTTCTCTCTCTCTCTCCCTTGAGATAGTTGCGGTATGGACTAAATTCGCCTCCCTCGCGTTGCACACATTATCATATGTTAGTCGCAAAATGACAAAAGAATTGTGTTGACCAGTCATTAAACCCCATCATTTTTATGTTAATGGGTTCATCACTACTTACTTTTAACTTCTGGCGGTCCATTACTCACAAACGCATATTTCTGTTCAAATACAACAATGTATACTAAATAGAGCGTGGCGCCATAAGCTGCAGCATATGACATGCTTGTATCTCTTGTCAGTATATCCATAGGACTGTGTAAAATATATTATAAATTGAGAATAAAATAATTAATATTAATTTGGGAAATTCACATAGCTGAAAATCGACTGTGTGTCGCCCTATACTTCAGCCAGTAACGATAACGCGTGATCCCCTTTATTTGCTTCACTACCCGACCCTTCAAATCTTTCTTAACAGTATATATTATTTGGAATGTGTTTAACCAGTTCTATCACAAAATGTAACATTGTATAATTTGGGCAGTAACTAAAACAGCTGTAATTTACGAGAGCTCACAGTGATACACTCCCTTATAATATTAAGGTCTGGACAATAAACATCTATCCACTTACAAAATAAGTCCCGGTTTTCCCTTAAAGACGTCTAGAAGTAATCGCCTTCGTTTTTTTGTAAAGGAAAATGATAACATTATTAGTACCTGTAAAACAAAAATAAGGAATGTCAGGCAACAAAACTAAAATTTTATGACAAAAACTGTGATGACGGATTTTACAGGTGCCACGTTACCCTGGAACTGGTGTCACTTCCCGTACAAACGAAACCGTTAAACAGTTTACCACAAGAGCATTGCATCTATAATTTTTTTCTAAAAATTAACCAATAAATCCAACAATAACAGTTCCATTTATACATTTGTTACATATGTCACAAAATAAACCATAGCAAACGAAGACTCAACACGATGACATCACTTCTGCTATCAATAAATTTTTTAAATTGGATGGCAGAAATAGCCACATTGGATGAGAGAAAATTTAATTAAAAATTGAACAGAATTAACCCTTTATAAATCCTTACTAAAAAGCGAAAAATCTTAAAAAGTGGCCCTGGCAAAATTGGTTAGAAACACTTTTGTAACATCAATATGATCGCATTGATTTATTTTAATTGTCCATTGGGAATAAAATATAAAATTTTATTTGAACAATTAATATTAGTTACCTAAAAAAAAAAAAAAAAAAAAAATATTTGTTTTGGAGGTTTAAAGTTCAGTTTTTGCCCAAATTACATTACTTCTGGTGATAATGAAAATGTTAAATTACTTTTACGAAATCATAAATGGCATAAGGCATCATGTGGTGAAGATTTTATACAAAAATCGAATAATAATTGACACTTTTATGAAAAACCTTGAAAAGTGACTTGTAGAAAATCGTCTATTTCTCCGCAACTGAACAAGTTAGGAACCATTTTGTGATATCTATATGACCGTGTCATTTTTATTGATATGTTGATTTAAATTAAAAGTTAAAATTTTTAATACATATTAAATAATTCTTAGTTGAAAAAAATATTGATTTTAAAGGTTAAAAATACGTTTTTTGACAAAATGCCGCCACTTTCGGTGTCAATTTGGAATTTTTATCAGTTTAATAGAACGTACATTTGCTTTATGCATCAAATGGTGTCACTTTTATGAAAATCCAATCATAATTGACTCTCTTACAGGCAAACTAACGTAAAAAGTGACTTGTGCAAAATTGATTATTTGCGCCTGTAGTAGGGGATTTCATCATGATCTCTCAGATTTGTAAAAAATAATAATTGATTGCGGAAAGAAGTTCCGAACTGTCAAAATTGTAGTTTTTGGCAAAATTACATCACTTCCGGTGTCGACAGAAAACTTTATCGGTTAAAAAAAAGAAATGGAATTTGGAACCACAGAGCATATGAACTTTGTTTTATACAAATCGAACAATAAATAATTAATTTAGAACCGAAAAACTGAATTAGTCAATGGCGACTAGCGCAATGTACCGAAAGAAATTTTTTTTCACAGACCTTTTAATCCTGTGCAAAATACAATCCAAAAATAATCATAAATAAAAAGTTTTTTGTAAACATTTAAATTTTCAAAATTTGGCGCCTAATATTTCCAAAGATTCACCGAAAATAAAAAATCTAAAGAACCATAGCTATGTGCCTTATCTCTAGCTATGTTAAAATGTATCAAATGTTAAAATCCGACGATTATTTTTAATATTACTGCAATATTTCATAAAACGACAACCTCAAAGATTTCGTACATTTCGCATTGTCGCAGAACGTTCGAAACAGGCCCGTAGCCAGCTTGCTGGCGCAGGGGGAGGCAGCCCCGGCGGTAGGGGGGTCCGGGGGTGGGTTCTCTCTTGCCGGGGGTACGGGGGTCTCCCCCCGGAAAATTTTGAAAATTGAGTAACTGTAAACGAGTTTCTAAACATAGAAATCGACAATTATATGTTCTAAGAACGAACTATTCTGAGTGTTTTTCAAGAAATATATTCAAATCATACATAGGTAATTTATAAATATGGTCGACAACCTTTTGTCGGGGGGGGGGGGGGGGGCAAGATTATTTCCAGGGGGGGCTTCGCCCCCCCAGGCCCCCCCTTGGCTACGGGCCTGGTACGAAATAGCTTTAATCTTTAAGTCACACCCACTTTCCCAGTAAAACCGAAGACATCGAATCCACCTGACAAGTAGTTTCTGAGATATGCACAAGTGGAAAAAAAAAATAATAATAAGAAGAATCTTAACAAAAACAATAGTGTTTCACACAAGCTACGTAGTATGAAACCCTAATTAACGCGCAACTTGTATTTGGTATTAATAATGTTACCGCTGGTACAACCGCCGCCTGGTAAAATGTATAATGATCCAACTTTTCGATACATGGATCGCTGCAAAATAAAACAAAACAAAAATGACATTTAAAGAGAATAACTGAAATTTATTGACAAAACCTAAACCATGGCCGATATTTCCATGTACACCAGAATTAATACAACAAGTGGTGGCAAAAGACGGACGGGGAACATGTAAAATCAATAGGGCCCATCCTCTTATTGTCCCAATACTTCACAAAGAATTTCAAAAAGAAATATTAGTTAAAAACTGATTCAAGATTTACCACTTTAATTTAGTCTGTCATACACATGCTAACAAAGGCTCGGTTTTAAAATAGTGTCCATATTGCCTTATTGGTCAAGATTATTGCATAGTTTAATGAACAATGATCCAAATATGTTGATTATAACATTAATATATCCAGTATACTGTTTATTGTCAACATAACTCACAGTAGATACAAAATATAAACACACATTTCTTAAAATAATTCAATGTGAAATAACAAGCCAGGCTGTATTAAACAAGAAGCTTGCATAAAAGGCAGGTGGCAGATTCAATGCTCACCAAAACTGAATGCATTCAGAGGGCCCCCAATCATGGTACATGCTTTTACAGTTTTTGCGTAAAAGGGAGAGGCCATTTTCACGATATTCGAACTCAATCGTAATTATTGTGCAACAGTTAAAACTGCAATTTTTCGTTCAATCCGGGGCCGGTATGCGTATATATCGACATGGATCGTGATCTTTGGGTTATAAACATACAAATTAACTTTCATCAAAATCGGATAAAAATTGTGGCCTCCAGAGCATCCACAAGCTATAAACGCGATTTTTCGAATAATCAGGGGCAACAATCCACGACGTTACGGTTCGATACGCGCTAATGTCAAAGGAACCGAGATCGTTGAGATATAACCCTATATTCCAGGTTTTGTCAAAATCGGATAACAATTGTGACCTGTAGAGTGTCGGAACCATAAAACAAACACACGGACGGCTAACAAGGTAAAACAGAGACATTGCAAGTCAGTAAAGATATATCAATTAACGATTAGCCTTATTTTATCAATGGTAAATTCTCGAATCCCTTTAAGCGCCATGAACCTAAACACTGTGAATAAATTTCAAGTCACTCGGATGACAACTTTAGTCTTTAAACGTCCATAAAGTATTTTAAAACGGATCAAGGGTCATAACTCGGATAACTGTAGCCTATAGATGCAATTGTATCGATGAAGGGACGGGAGTGACGACTTGCCAATATACGTGTCGGTCCTGAATTATTCTTTGATACATACACATAAGTTTCATTATCAGCTCCGAACTCATTGTTTAAACCCTTATAGACTGTATTTATCAAGTCTGTAAACGACATGGCACTGGTTGGCACTGACACTTCTAGCGTTTAAAGGCTTTAATCACTATATTACAAATCTACCTCCCTGCACATCGCAACTCAGACCTGAAAAAAGATAATTCGTATTTAGTAACCAACTCTCTAGAATATCCGAAGGTTGAGATTTGAATGGATTAGAACACCCGCGAGATTTAAAAATTTAAATGAATAATCCTGATTTAGTATCGATTGTCAAGTACCGTTGCTACGATAACAGTCTACGCCACATCTTCACACACCGATAACTTCACTCAGAATAAAGTAATTTGAATGAAATTTTCAATATATTCGTTTCTCATTATCTATTATGTTCACACTATTATAGCAAGGACGATCAGTCCTTTATCTAAATCTTACATAATGCATCTTTAATGATGATCAAGTTGAATCTGTTGATGATCAATGTTGGTGTTAAGGATGATTATTGATACTGTTAGAGTTTCTAGTAGTATTAGTGGAATGTTTATCAATGTTAGGAATACTTACGATATATTTACTATGTAAGATTTAGATAGTGGACAGTTCTCGCTATAATAGTTAAATAAAACATTATGAAAAACGAATATATTGAAAATTTTGGTCAACTTACTTTATTCTGAGCGATGTTATGGGCGTTTGAAGAATATCGTAGTCTCGATTGGCATTACTACTGTTGTAACGATAATCAACAAAGTCTCAATTATCCATTTTTAATTGTCGATCGTACTTAAATCCGTTGAAAATCACAACCATCCTATGGTCTAGTGAGTTGGTTATGGGTTTGTCATAAATGTCCAATTAACATTTGAAACCAAACGAAAGATTTGCTATAGGTGATTTAACACTTGCATAATGCATTTTTAATAAAAAATTTTATTATTTTTTTTATTTATTTTTTATTTTTTAAAAAAAAAAACAACGCAAATAAGAAGAAGAACTAAGGCTATAATATGAACTCAAACTAGGGTCAAATATGAAACATACAACGCACTTGTTAAACCGACATGAAACTATATCTATGCATAAGTAAATATGCAAGTCATTTTACATATTATTTATCAAAAAAATAGCATGCGCACAGTACTGGGTTTAAGCTGCTTTCTCTTGTCAGTCACGGTCGGGTGTTCGATCCCTGCATTGGCCGAGAAAGTTCATCCAGATTTTCCGGCGTGGTTCTCCCTTGTCAGTGATGCAGGACGGAGGGGCTGACAAGGAAAGCTGTCTAGTCGTTCGGATGGGACGAAAAACCGAGGTCCCGTGTACACATTGGCGTGCACGTAAAAGATCCCTTGGCAGTTGGAATTCGATATAAGAGTAGGCCGTAGTGCCGCTGTCCGGGCAAAATTTCCCTCATAGCACACTGTATGGCGTATGCCCGTCTTCATTAGCCCAGGTTAGGAGCAGAACAGTAGGACGTTAAACTCCATTTCATTTCATTTCTTGTCAGTCACGATTATCCAGCATAGTGATTCTTAGCCAGTGTGCCGCGAGATCTTCCTAAAGCAAGGCTGACACTTGCACGATTCCGTGGCACGCATTGGCACGACTCGAGTCGTGCCAGTGCGCAAACTAGTCGTAAACTGGCGTGAAGTGTGCGTAAACCCGTCGTGACTGCGTGCCATGTCGGGACGAGAATTTTGAAATGTTCAAATAAACTATGCGCAAACTGTTCGTGACCTCGTCGGGACGATGCGTGCCAGTGCGTGGCAGTGCATCTTCTCTTCCCTGCAATGATTGTGTCTCTGACATTCAGCATGTTGTCTCTTCCACAGCCAATCCAAAAATGACCAGGGGTTGGGGAGGCCCCCTTTTTATATGGCGTGCCCAAGTCGGCACATTACGGTCCGAATTGCGCAAACTCGTCGTGCCAATGCGGGAAGTGCGTAAACAATGCGCAAACTATGCGTGAACTCGTCGTGCCAGTTCGTGTCAATGTGGACACTGATGGGCACGCATTCGTGAACTCGTTGTGAACTCGTTGTGAACTATGCGTGAACTAGTCGTGAACAGTGCAGGAGCCTCCCAGTTCGTGCCCCAAAATGGCACGACAAAATCGAGGCCAAAAGTCGTGCAAGTGTCAGCCTGGCTTAAGTGTGACGCGGAATTTTGAACGGCACACTTAGAAAATGCTAAAAACCACATGATTTGGGTACTCCAATTTGAGTGGTTTTTTTGTAAAATATGGCATTAATTGCATTAGTAACACAACTATAACTCATTTTAGAGTGTTTACTCATAACGAATATATAAGTCTTTCAGAATATTATCATGTATAATAATCTTAATAATATTTCATAACGCCTCAAGTATAGATTATTTTAGCTTGTATACATTTAAATACGTGTAAATGTTCCAAAATATTACCAAGTACAATATCTTAATTAATTACTAGTATTCTTAATTCAGGTGAGATGCATAAATGAATAAACCACACTATTCAGCTAAGTTGTAAGGATATGTGTATTGATTTATATTCATTGTGAACTGACACAGATTGTCTAATTGCCAAACGGCAGTTGAATTTGAATCAGTTTGATTGATATTTGTCAATTTATTGTCATTGTAAAATGAAGCGAAGTAGTCGACGATCTATATGTAATCTGGGTCATAGAGACCTATAGTCGTTGGCTTGAAATAAGTATCGAACAAAATACACCCCCGTTGGTGTAATAATTAAAATGGATGTGTAATTTACAAAACATCATCGAGGTGTAATGCTTAATCTACTCCAACGAGTGTCAACTACTTTCCACTTAGATTGGTGTAATGTTTTCACACTAGTAGGGTGTTATCGGTTTACGCCACTAAAGGCTAGGAGTTACCCCTCTTTAAGTGGTAACTAGTTTCCACCCGAATTGGGGTAAACTACCTTATTATTTTTAACAATGTATGACTAGTCTCGGTCTGCGGTTGTATGCCGTCTGACTTGCCATGTTTTTACTTTGCAAAATTCAAATAGTTTTCATATATAGTTAGTTAGGTGTGTCGCTATTTTTTGATGTGTTTCAATGTGTGCCGTTGGCAAAAACAAATTTATTGTATTTCCTTAATTTTATAATACAAAATGGGCAGAGATAATGTATATCTCTATTAAATCAAAGCAAAGATCTTTTACAATTCCTGATCCTGGAGCAAATTGTTTTTTTCTGATAACATTATTTGGTGTCAGCTACTGGCCTATGGCGGTATATTAGATTCAAAATTCTAAAATGCTTTCGTCTAACTTCTAACTTCTGTTCATGTATTTTTTGACTTGCTTGTTTGTCAGTCACATTAATTTGTGCCTTGGACAGAATACCCACGAGCGAGATAAAGGGTGGTTTTAATGCCGTCAATATTGATAGCGGCTTGAAAGATATTATTTAGATAGCAAATCCCAAAGATGCATTATGTAAGTTTTAGATACAGTGCTGGTCGTTTTTGCTATAATAGTTCAAAAATAGATAATGCAAAATTAATATATTGAAAATTTCATTCGTATTACTTTATTCTGCGCGAAGTTATCACTGTTTGGAGTTTTGACAATATGTGGCGTTGATTGTTTATAATCCTAACCACGGTACTGGTTATGCGAGCCTTAGCCTCACGTCTCCTTTCTTATATTAAATCATTAAATGGGTGAAGCGTTCTAATATACTTAAAATCGAAGCCGTCCGATGACCTAGACGATTGATTATGGGCTTGTCATGTTAATACATGTTTAAATAATTATATAACATTTGAAGTCACTATAAAGATCTGCAGTAGACAGATTTAGCTCTTATATCTTTAACACAAAGCAAAATATTTGATTTAGATAATAACTTGGCCACAATTTCAGGGACCCAAGTAAAAGTAAAAAATATTTCAAATGCTTTTAGTATTGGTAGATTTAAATAGTTTTCAAACCTATGACCTATAAATGCTGCCATGTTGTCCTTTAAAGGGGGGTTGGAGGACTGAATAGTTAGCACGTGCGCGCTGTATCGTAAGGTTTGTCATGAGTCAACTGGCGTGGTTTCGATTCCCCGGTTGTACGTGGCAAGGAGTGGGGTCGCCTGTCCAACCTCGTGGGTTTTCTCCGCCCCCCCCCCCCCCACTGCTAAAGACCCCTACGCGCAAGCGAATTGTTGAAATCAAATTGAACCATATGTTAGTCCCGAAATGACCTAGTTTGTGTCAAGTGGACGTTCAACCCCATTTCTCGCTTTCTGTTGTCCTTTAACTCAGAACAGATTTAAGATCAATAAAATGTATATTTACCCATGTGCAACTATGCATCCAATCGCAATTTTGTTCGTGTGACACTATAAATCCACACCTTGTATATCAAAGTTAACAAAATATATTACATCCTGATGAGTATATAAGAACAGAAAACCACTACTCTACTGCCTGCATGATTCCAACAACGAAATTAATAACCTTATCTTTACAACAGTTCAATCATATTTCAATTTGTTCCCCAATTTCCCATAGTGAATAAAATATATGTCTTAAAAATATATATATATATATATTACAATCTATAAAATCAGCCACTGCCAGTTTATGAAATATATGCTAGACCTATCCTACATAATGAGTCAAAATAGTCTCACTTTGATAAGATAATATTTGCACAATCTCTCATGTTTAGCCGTTGCTTAGCTGTTATCTTAAAGCTGGATTCCTTGCAAGTATATGTCAATAACCAACCTATGTTACAGGCGCATTAGATCGGATTTTGAAAACGCTGGATCTGCTCAGAATTCTAAAAGAAAAGTCTAATCAGACAGAAATCGTTGGAAAAAAAATATCGGGAAATATTCATTACTTAAAAAGTAATATAGCTTAAGAAAATGTTAAAATAAATCTTTTATTTTAGTAAGTTTTCCTTGCCTATAAAAGTATTCAATCAATAGAAGACAGGACTTTAGCCTTTTGATTACTAAATCATAACTGATAAAAACACACCAGTAGAGTCAGATACATTATGCTCATTCTACATTATTTCATTTACCAAGTTGTAATATTTCTTAAATAAGAAAAAGTATAGATTGAAAATCAATCAAAGAAAAATAATACTCAAAAAGAAAACATTTTAAATAGTATCTTTGTAAGTTCAA